CTTCCCCTACCATGCACCTTACCATGACGTCATTACCATCTTACCCTTACCGGCCAGGGGGTTTTCGCCGAGCCAAGGGTGCAAGGCCCCGGACGGACAGTCTGGTATTATGTAATAACGTAGTGCATGAGCGTTGCATCAAGTGTTGTCTAAACACCACGATCGCGCCAAAACCCCTTGACCATCGCGACTCCTTCGTGTCACACCCTCTCTTGCACCACAATTCACCCAGCCAACACATTCACGCTTGAAACCTTCTTGAACTCCAGCGATTCCGGTGTTGATCTAGCCGAGGAAATTCTGCCGGTTGGAGAGTTTCGACAGAATTCCGACTTTTACATTTGATTCTTGCCTTTGGCACCGCGCCAACTATTTCTTGATATCTTCATATGATATTCTGTGGCTTATTTTCTATATTGTAGAAATGCCTAAGAGAATTCCTGAGATATTGCGATGTAGTGATTTTCAGCGACGAGCTTCCCTGTCGCCGGCCCTGATTCTTGCTTATGCTTAGGGCTTAGGGTTACGTAGCCCTCCAATTTGGTGGCACATTGTACTGAAAGTCTCATGCACCGATTTATCAGAACTTTCTAACGCTTTTTTATCACTCAATTCTGCTTTTGCAACATCACTTGGTCCGCTAATATTTGCCATAGGACAGGATTTCCTCGGCTCTTCAGCTCCATCCCATCCCTGAAGTAGAGTTCCTACCAAAATGTCGCCGGAAGTGTCTCCTTAATTGGTTTTCTTCCATTTCCCTTGCTCCCATTCCCAGTTCCTCAAGAGAGAACTGCGGCATTGGCCATTTTGTACGGAATGTTTTGGGCATGGCCATATCTCCGATAAAAATTAATCCTTTTTTGCGGGATAGGCTCCCACACGAGATCCCATGCAACCAGTTATCGCCTAGTACCGCTCACCTATTGTTTCTCGGGTACCCTCGGAACGTCTTTGATACGATATACGGTGAGGAAGTGTTTACACAGTGTCTTCCTTACTTCGGAGTAGGAAAAGGCCCTGGAATTGCTCCCGAGGTCACGAACCTCCCGTGCGCGACCACATCTAAACACTTGTTCACACTAATGTGCTCCCTAGTTATTCGGTAATGAACCTCACCTGGGCCTAGGTATCCCAGACCAACCAAACTCATAGCTCTCTCAGGGGTTATAATGGTTATAATGATTATAGTGCTTACAAATGCTCGGGAACGAGAAGTGCGGGTTCGATTTCCGTCTGGGGTGAAGAGTTTACCCATAACCAAATTTGTTTGCCAACCAAACAATTTGCCAAATAACCTAATTTTTGTTGAAATTGTGCTTATAATTTGACTAAAATTGGGATCGCAACCGCTCAAGATACTCTAAGGATTTACTGTCATCAGGATAAGCCTGAAGGGATTTAGTTAAATGCTTAAAAAAGGTTCAGTTTAATTCCCTCCTTCCATCGTCAATTATGATACCCAAAACTACCCCATAATACCCAAAGCTACCCAAAATTTCTGACGGGGACCATTCGCTCTTTTTATTTCCTTTTTAGGGCACCTTTGAGATGAATACTAAAAACCTTTCTCAAATCCTTGATATAAAAATTAAAAAAACCTAACTTCAGGTTCGAAATAACCTTTCGAAGCATTGTTGAAGAGTCGTTTACTAAACAAAACAATGTAACTATAAACAAAACAAAATAATTCATTTTGGTAGGTAGATATTTGGTCCAACCTTTAGCGATGGTGATGTGATGACAACCAAACAAGCATACTACTTTCATTGCCTTTCCAAATCAGCCCTCCTGGGGTTCTCAGGATCTCCTAGCCAAGTGCCAGATCCGTAGATGGGCACTGTTTGCATGTCACACGGTGACTGATAGAGCGATGATGGTTAAGTGTTTAATTGACTGAGAGTTGTTATGCAAATTCGGCAGTGAAAGCGGCGCTCAGCCAAGGCTATCCTGGTCCGAACATCGAACGTTCCACTCCAAATTCCATTATTGGCATCAAATCTTCTCATTTTTCAACCATTTTTATTGATCCTTTCCCTCGTCTCTATTTTTCGCCTCTTATTCATAAACATTTAAGTTCTGCTTTGTTGTTTGTTGTTTATGTTTTCAACGTTTGTTCAAGGTGGAGAAGATGCGGATAGTTTTATGCCTCTACCTCGTCACATGGATATCAGCCGGGATCATCGACGATCTCCCGCATGTGCTCGAGTACGGTAATGGAGGGCGAAGTGAGTAATGAGTAGATGTCTTGTTCGCGAGATTACGTGAGTAATTACTGGTACAGGTGTGACAAAACGACAAGTACTTGCAGATCCGCGAATACGATAATTTTGGCCGGCCGAAGATCTTCAGCGCTGTGCAACTCTCGATGGCATTGCACGAAGTGGCATGTATGACCATAAAGGTTCGCCTGTTTGATTTATGAGCTCCATACTACGTCATTTGCCCGGTATTGCCGTAATGAAGCACAGTTACATGCTCTGTTTAATGGAACAATTAGTGTTGTTCCCTCTGTCGCACACAGAAAATATGGCGAGGTCCTCTAAAATTTGCCCGCAGAGCAACGTATTTCATACCCAGAGGACTAGGAGACAGAGCGGCTCGGGGGCAATTCGTCGGTCTGTGGCGTCGCGCACTTGACACTTCTATTCAAGAAATGAGAGTCAATTTGATAGGCAATAATTGACCCACTCACAATGACCTCGTGACCATACGTGCCGTTGTGTCCCCAAATCGCGACTCAGTGCATTCAGCGAGTTGGGAAACAGCCATGTTTTTCCTACTGGGCTCGCGTCTTAGTTTTTGGCACAAGCAGTTGTATCACCCGTCAGAGATGTGAAAACTGAAATGGCGCTTGATCCGCAATTCCGCAAAGGCATACTCAGAACACAGTCCAGCCTAGATAGGAAAACTTCAGAAAAAAAGAAAACTTTGATCACGGCATCCTGAAGCGTCTCCTCCCACATGAGCTAAGTCCAATTTCAACACAAAAAAACGGTACAGGAACGAGGTTCTGACTGCAGACTACCTGACAGCACCCACATGTGCCTGCGATAGCGCCTCAGACCATTCCACGAGAACATATAAAATTTCCCAGGTGTACATCATTCGAAATGGGGGGGGTTAAAGGTGGAGTAGAGGGAGCCGCGTACTTCCCCCTGTGCATGTCAGAGTATCAAAATCCACGTATTCGCACTCTCGTCCGGTCAGCCAATGCTCTCCCCGTCGAGATTCCGTTATTTATCGCAGTTGGCGGCTGAGCAAGCACTTAGAATGAACCAACTCAGAAGAACATTTCCTCCCAGGTTAATTGTGTAAGCCCGAGTACCGCCTTCAATACGAACGAAGTTGCATTCTGTGTTGATTTGATTCGTGTGGCATTTTGTTAAGGAGGTGAACGCTTCCGTCCACTGTTTACCGAATCATGTGTTCTTTCTAAAGCTCGAGTTGCTCGTGTCGGAATAGATAGAAAACAGAATAAATGAAAAAAAAACCAGATGAAATCATGGACCATCTTCGGAATTCAGAAAGTTTGGCTTGCTTTAGATGAACGACAGTGAGTCATCCATTCTTCACACGCTGGAATTCTTGCGGTTGGAACAGCATCATCCCGTCTCTGGTGAGTATTGCGCCTTAGTCCCATTTGACCGCTGAAAAGGATTGCTTATTTTTACCAAACGCGCTTATGTACTGGTTTGAACGGGATATGCGCCAGACGTGCTTTAATTTTGAACTATCATATGGCGCACGAGGCCGTAAGGTATGCTTCCCCGAAGGGTTGGGGGACGAAAATCCCTTTGAATTTTCTCTGTCTTCCCAACTGGGATTGTCCTGATAAAGGGCCTACATTTAATGTGTGTGTAGGTTAAAGTAAACATGCACTGAAAATGAAGAAACAGTATCGTTCAAAACAAATAAATTTGAAGGGGTCTTCCAACCCTTTGGGAAGCATACCTTACGTCTCTAGGAGGCCTAAATGAATTATGGCAGACCCTTACCTGAAGCATTCTAAACCCATGGCGCAATTATTGTAGCACCCATCGGAACGACAAGTCTTACGTTCTGTTTGCATTTGTATTTCTTGATATCTTTTGTATCTTCTGCACATATGTATACTAAGAGTTTTCTTGCCTTCCAGGGATGTACCAATTTGGAATTCCCAAAATCACCTCGTCCTGCATTTGTGACTGTGCTGGAGGTGACACGCCATGTAAGATGAACGAATACAATTATCGGTAAGTCCCCTCAGTGGACGTCGTCATTGTGTTCATGCTTCAACCGAGGAATTCTCCATTTAGGAACTGCTCATCAGGTGCTCTTTGCTACCGAACTTACCATCCGGTACAGTCGAATGTCGGTTGTCTCAGCGAGCAGAAAAGCGAAGCATGCTGTCAGCTGCGGATCGAACCGTTTAAAGGACTGGATATTCACAGCCATTAAAATCAATCAGCCATCTACAGTACTTGTTTTCAGGTAAAGCTACAGATTATTTTCCGGAATATTTGAGAACTGTTACCGTAACGAACGGATGTGACCTAGTGGGACGAATAGATGTGGTGGCAAGTGAGGCCGCTTCACGTGCGCGATGCGAGGTTCAAACTTCTGAGTGCATTCCAACCGGGCTAATCGAAATTTTCACCTTTTCGGGAGCAGTGGTACCCGACAGGAGGCCCGTCGCGCGGCAAGAAGGCAGAGTCAGCGGACGAGTCGCAGCGCGTGATGTGCGATGTAGGACGTACAATGGTACATTCTATTTAACTTGACGCGAAATCACTAGTACGCGCTGCGACTCGTCCGCTGACTCTGCCTTGCTTGCCGCGCGACGGGCCTCCTGTCGGGTACCCCAGTACCGGTTATTCCTTACCACACTCATGTGAGAGAACAAAACATCTACTCTCACTTCGGCTAGCCGGCGCATACTGACTATAAATGATCGCATTCAAATGCTCGTGCAGCTCTAAAGAAGTCGAATCCATGGCGCAACCCAGAAGGATTGGTCGAAGTGAAACGCCTATCACTTTGATGATTTTCAGGTATAACATTTACGACCGCTTCAATAACCGATGGCGGAAAGCCTCTGAAGAGGTGGTCGAAGTGCCGATGAATCGTGGCATTTTCAAGTTCGACTTCAACAACGTGCAAAAAATCGAAATGGTTGTCTCAGGAAGTCGTCCGAATAGAGAAGTTCAGCCAGGAATGTACTTCTTCAGAGAAGGTAATGCATTTTTGATTCCGACGCATAAGCTTATATTTAAATATGGTGAATTTCACAGGAACACATGAGCTACGAGGGTTTGTACCGATAAATGACATCGGCGAGAGCAGTTTGGAGAAGCTCGGTTGGATGCGGTACGCAGATGGAAAATGGGACATCCGAAACGGCCTGGTGAAAATCAAACAGGCACATGTAAGTCTATTATCAGTTCCCTTCATTTCCGACATTAGGTTGACTGTTCCCTTTTCCATCTAGGGTATGTTGCTCTAATCCCGACTTCGTGCCGCGCCATCTTGTTCTGATTGCCTCATACGAAATGGCGCGGTATGTCTACGCGTCAATTTATGGCGACCAAAAGCAACGCAGTATGTCGCGTGCGACGTGCTGGGGGAGGGGGGAGAGGCCGAGGATGTAGCTACAGTTTTACTGTTCTTTGATCCAATAGGTGACTTCAATTCGTTTTGTGTCACGGACTTCACTGCCTTGCTACCTTTTCTGAACCCTCTTGAATTCTTGCTTCGCGGTTCGAAACTGAATCTGATTGAGTGACTTCTCCCGTTTCAGCGGAAAAATAGCATAGCACAACGGATACTTAAAGGCACACTCCACCACCAATTTCGTAGGCCGCCGCTCAAACGCTTGAAATGGATTTAGAAAGCGAGTTGGACATGGTGAAGAAAGGAAAAGAAAAAAGAAGCAATCACAAAAAAAGCACTCGCGAAGGCAGAATCAAACACTGAATATAGAGACCATTTCTGTAGGCTTGGAGGGTTGGTAACCGGACAATTACGGATGTATGGATCCGGTGAGAAGGAAAGAACCTGAGCATGGATGCAAACGAGGGCGGATTTGACCTAAGCTGGTATCTATGTACTGGGCGGGACACTGGTGCTGGGTGGTGCCCCGTAAGCATTCTTGAGCTTGAACTCCTGCTGTTGGGTGATGTACCAGGCGTGACTATTCATAATGTGTGCTGTCTGCATTCTGCCTTCTTCGAGATAGAGCTCACTTCGGTGATGGCAGTCGTATCCCCCCTGGTTACTTCGATTTGCAGCAGCGTGAATGTAGCCGTTGCAAGCAACAATTTACACGGTAACTATAATGGAGAGCGTTGGTCTTGATGTTCTGGAAATGACATCGACGAAAGCTACGACCTTGGTAGGTTATGCAAATTTTGTTAACAGAAATCCGAATAAAGTGGATATATGGCACTCGGTATATCTGAACAAGTTTCTTCATATTCAATGCCCGTTACACACAGTATTAGCTAGCAGATGACCTTAAACTTTGTTCGGAGTTTATCACCCTGAGCCGCGTGCGGTTGCAAAGCGGCAGTTTTTCTCGCTGCACTGCAATCGCAGTCACCCTGAGTGCGCTGAACACATATTTGTTCGCACTGTGCTGTTTGAGAAAATGAGTAGAATTGTTCATGAAAGAAAGCAGAGACATATCAAGGCGCCTCCGCTTGTTTCCACATTGGCAAAGCTGAAAGATGGCGCAGCAAATCCGTGGATTAACCAGTTTTGAAACATTATAGGCCGAGCACTGACTGATTGATCGCATGGATCGAAAGAGCTGATTACCGCAGGACGAGCTGGAGAGTAAGCATGCGGAGGGAGGCATCATTGAGTACGTCCCGCAAGTGATGCCTCACAAATCGCCTGTAAGAAACGCATTTTCAGGTGCATATGACGTCGGAGACGCGACCACACATGCTTCGGCACATCTCTCAGTTGGAGTCGTTTGAGGGAATGATCCAAGTAGATCGTGATAGCAATCGTTACCTGAACATCTCCTTCTTGGTGAGAAACCCAAACGGAACTGAATGTAACAGCAAGTCCAATTCATCGATACAATTTCAGGGATCGAAAGGAACATTGATCGGGAACATTTTCTCATCAAAAAAGGATCAAATAGATATGGCCTTTTCAGTCCAAGGTGAGTCATTACATGTCTCACAGTGACATATTCTAATCCCATTAATTTTAGTTGACTCGAAAGTGCATCACTACAGATCAATTATATCGATTCCATCATCAATCAATAGCAGTCGATATGTGTGTTTTCACCCATCAGGTGACATAAAGGGAGAAATCTGCAAATGGTTCAAGTAAGCTAGGAATAGGTTCGGTCCAAAGTTGGAACTCATTGCTAGCTTTGCAGATATGAAACTCAACGACTCAACAGCTACCGTGTTGCACATCGTTGGCAAAGAGGTCAAGGAGATTGTGGAGGGTAAGTCGATACATCTCATTGCTATCATGCAGGACGTACCCACGGAAATCGGAATACGGAACTAAACCTGCAGCGCAGTCACCTTGGAGTGACAACCATTAGCCAGTCAGTACAGGTAGATGCGAATAAAACGATAAGAAATAGAGTTGCTGGCGCTGACCAGTCACTTTTTGGAGCGTGCCTCGCATGCAAACCCTACTCAGAATCTCAGAGGTATTTGAATGTGTAATTGGCCCACAGATTGCCGTACAGGGCCACCCCATGTTCAGATCTCCATTCTTACCCTCGCTGACGGTACGGTAGCTACAGCTATTCACCCAAAAGATGAGAGTTGGACAATAGAACGATGTACTGCGGCAGAGCAGCATTTCTGAGTATTCATGAAAGATGAAAGCATTCTAAAACCCAAACCTGAGCGTATGGGTGGTCCAACCAGATGTGTATCGAGGGTTATAATATTTTGATAGAATACAAAGTTTCAGGGTTCATGATAATGACCCGAAACGCGAGACTTGGAAGGAACTCAATTTCCATTTTTCATAGGTACTAGTAGTACTAGGGAGAGTGTTCACCTATTCTCACCCACAATCGTGAGCTTAGAAGGAATAATAATTGATTCGTCATTCGAGGGACAAGATATCAAGAGACCATAAAGCTCCGCGCTGAAAGTATCACTACAGTAACCCCCCGATTTTGATTGTTTCAAAACAAAATTCCATACCTTCACGATCACTACGCAAACAGATTTATGGGTGTCAAAACTGTCACGTGCTGGTCCGGCCAGTCGCCCACACCGACCTGTTTCAGTCCAGTTTTTATTTCTCTACAAATTTCAGTGTCAATTAACAGAACATATGGAAAACTCACTAAAAGTAAGACATGAAGGGATGTGGTTGCAAGAAAAAACAGGTCCTTGTTGCTACAGTATGGTACTGGGTGCTCGATAACGAGTGGCAGATTGCTTGGTGTTGATCGAAGCACTAGGATGCGCCACTTCCTCAACTTGTACTCAGAATCGTGGAAGAAATTGAATGCGTGTGGGCTATCCAATGACCAAAATCAATTTGATCTAGCTAGTAAATGTTTTCTATCATAACATTTGAAACCAAGAGAATGACTTTCAAAACATAGGAAGCTTGATTAACTGGCCTTGTTCTGATCACTGAGGTCATCGCGGATGTATTAGCGCTCTTTCTAGGCCCGCTACTGCACCTTCCCTCGGAGCAACAGCGCAACTAAGGGCTGTGTCATCGTCACAGAAAAAGAAAAACAATACTATTCAATACTATTCAGTATTTGAAATATTAATCGCCAATGACCGCGGAAGGGAATTCCCATCCTTCAATCTGCGTCAATTTTTTTGAAAGGGTGTGGCGCGCGCAAGATGTTGGCTTACATATGCGCATAGGCCTGGTTCGCTACGATAAAACACGGCTTCTTCCCTTTTCGCGAAGTAAAAATTTTTCGTTGCGGTTAACCTGCGTAAACCATGATCAGGGATAGACTGGATATCAGAGCGTGAAAGTTCGGCTCTGGCGAAAGTGGAAAAGTCGCTTTTTGTCCTAGCGACGCGCCCCCTTGCGCGCAATACGTTGCCTCAGGCAGGAACCCCACCTGCCCTCTCACTTTCCATGGCATATAATTTTCAATAGGAACGTAGATTCCAAATTTGGTGATTCGTGTATTGTTGTTAACTTTTGTAGAATTGTTATGTTAACGCCCAGCTTCAATCCTGCTTCTGAAAATCAGTGCTTTCCTTCTGTAGGTGCAATGAACGTGGTGTGGAGAGCTTCTTGACGTCGTTGGATCCTCGCCAGTGGTTCAACGGCATCTCAACACCGGTCGAGGCCTTTACAATGGCCGTCGAAATGGTCATCGTCATCTGCCTGGTGTTGCTTTTCTTCGCCATCTGTACCAAATGCCTTATTCCCCTAGTACGATGTACTTTTTCAGTCAGTAAAACGCCAAAGAAATAGTCACTTCTAGCCTATTGTGTCTTTGTTTCTCTGCCTATCGTTGCCAAAACCCTCATAACTTACCGGTACTTTGCAAGCATTATTTATGAATACTAGCCAAGCTTGCTAAACATTCTATTGATCTTTCATTTCTGTACTTACGTTTGAGTACAATTTCATTGTTTCTAGCTGCTTTCATGCTCTATGAGCAATCTTCGTTGCCAAATTCCTATGTGATATATCACTCAAGTGCTTTGTACATTATGTTTATCGATCCGGTTGCCTTATTCAAATTGTTTATATCTGTGAATACTTGTAATAAGATTTTAATAAGAATCACTGCTGATTACCGAAGTATAAGATCATTAAAAGCTCTTTCCAAGACTATAATATGTAAGTGTTGAGGCTGAACTATGGAATGGTAGGTGTTGTATGACCCTGCAGTAAGAAAGGACTGAAAAAAGGACTGTCGATGGGGCTCTTTTTTGAAGTGATCGTCTACGAAAGATCTAGCGGTCCTTCTTAGCTCGAAAACGTCAGGTTTCCAAAGAGAAACAAACCTACGAACATCTCAGCGTCTGTGGACGGTCGCGGGTAGGGCGGGAGGAGACAACGGGACGCATGGAAAGAAATGCGCCTTGGGACAGCCATGATTCAGGTGACGCACTGAAAGAATCGAATCAAAGCGTTGGATTCAG